AATAAAATGAATAAAAATTTTAAATTTTATTAATTAAATAAATAGCTAAAATAAAATTTATTTATTTATTTTAAAAAAATTAAAATAAAAATAAGTTAAGTAATATAATCTGTTTCAATCATTTCAAATTAAAGGAATTGAAAACAAAGGAGGGGAGGAGATTCTATCTCTTTTCATCTCTTTTTTCCATTAAAATTATTTCTCAAAATAAAAAAAAATGTGTTCTTTTTCTCTCACTCTCCTTTTTTTCCTCTCCAACTTCCTCAATCCAAACAAAATATAAGGGTAGATGGCCTTTGAACATGAATCTTTTTTTTTTTTTTTTATTGAACTTATTTTGCAAATACAAGTTTTGAACCTTGCCGGGAGAGGAGGAATGCACCGTGATTATGCCATTAGGCCTCAAGCGCCAGTGCCTTCTTTATTTAATTAAAAGTTGAATTTTACAATTAAATATATTTACACTGTAAAAAAAAATAATGATAATACTCCAGCCAACGGCTAAAAACTTATGACAACGGGCCCGATGGTTAAAACCATTTCATCACGAAAAGTAACGGACCCGCTTGGGCCACACATCTGACAACACGGGCTAAATCTGATCCAATCCATTGGTTGACACGCTGTCGTTTTGCTATTTCTGATAGCGTAAAGAAAGTACCTTCACGATTCCCAAAGAAAAGGAAACTTCATTAAAGAAAAAAATTACCGAGATTGGTAATTTTCACCTGAGTATAAAAAAATATTTTAAAATTATATATTATTTTATTAAAATACAATAAAAATTTAAAATAAATATTCCTTTAACTTGTGCTATAAAGTTATAAAATTCCATATAAAAACAATAGAAATATTTTGTACAATTTAAACAACTTCAAATTTGAAGCACAAAACTAATAATTATTAAACCACAATGCTATAGTCACATTTATTAAGCATAATTGTAAATTTATAATCATAATATGATATTAAATAAGTATAGTATGATATTAAATAAATGAATACAAATAATATCATGAATATATTATATATATAAGAAATTAATTATATAATAATATATCATGTTTTAAATTTACAATATTATTTAACATTGTAACTCTATGTTTGGATAAAAATTAGTAACGGAAAGGAAGGGAAGGGGAGGGGAAGGAAAGGGAGGAGAAGCCAAGGAATGAAAGGAAAAATTTGATATTAGTTTTGTTTGGATAAATAAAAATAAAAGAGAAAAAATGACAATATTTTTATTTAATTAAATAATTTAATAAAAAAATAAGATAAAAATGAATAAAAGTTTTAAATTTTATTAATTAAATAAATAGCTAAAATAATATATATTTATTTAAAAAAATTTAAAACAAAAATAAATTAAGTAATGTAATCTGTTTCAATCATTTCAAATTAGAGGAATTGAAAACAAAAGAGAGGAGGAGATTTCGTCTCTCTTCATCTCCTTCTTCTCAATTAAAATTATTTATTAAAATAAAAAAAAATGTGCTCTCTCTCCCTTGCTCTTCTCTTCTTCTTCTTCAACTTCTTGATCCAAACAAAATGTAAAAGTAGATGGCCTTCGAACATAAATCTCTTTTTTTTTTTGAATAAGTTGTCAAAGAATGGGTTCGATCGAAGCTCACTCATAAAGAAAAAAGGAATGTACTTCAGCCTAACAGACTGCTAGTTGACCCAAGACCAGCTGCGAACTTGAATCTCTTTTTTATTTAATTAAAAGTTGAATTTTACAATTAAATATAATTTAAACTGTAAAAAAAAAAATAATGATGATTCTCCAGCCAACGGCTGAAAACTTATGACAACGGCCCAATGGTTAAAACCATTTCATCGCGAAAAGTAACGGACCCACTTGGGCCACACATCTGACAACACGGGCTAATCCGATCCAATCCATTGGTTGACACGCTGTCGTTTTGCTATTTCTGATAGCGTAAAGAAAGTACCTTCACGATTCCCAAAGAAGAGGACACTTCATTAAAGAAAAAAATTACCGAGATTGGTAATTTTCACCTGAGTATAAAAAAATATTTTAAAATTATATAT